AGAAAATGGTGAAAGCTTCAAGGTCTTCAATGGTGGAAGCTTTCTTCTCCACTTCTTTTGGCTGCACCTTGGCTTTCTCCTAGCTCCAAGCTCTCCAAAATCTGCTCCCAATGTGTAGAATGATAGAATGGATTCATCCCCCACGTTCAAAACCTCTCCCACTTCAGATTGCCTCCCAAATGCCTTTTGCCCATCAATTCTAGCTCAAAGAAATAATATAAAACTCATGCTTTAGTTAAAGCCTTTGCCCTTGTCCCCTTTGCCATGATGAAGCCTTGTCTTCACAAAGATGCCAATTGCTTCAGAAAATATCTCATTTACTAAGGTAATTTCTTGTTACCAAGAGTTATGGTAACAAGAAGAATCAAGATGACACAAAGGAGGTACAAGCTGGCCAATTTCGGATTTCCAGAGCTGTGGTAACATGCTGGATTGGTTGGATAGGAAATACTTGTCCAATGGAGCTCAAATTTGGATATTTTGTAGTTAACATCCATTGGAACAAGTCTCATGAAGATCTTCACCTCATCCGAGCACCAGAGCATGTTGATCCCAAGCCAAGAAGTTGACCTACGAAAATGAACAAAAACAGAATTTATAACAAATAATGCACTTTTAGCTCATTTTCATTCCAACCAAGGTAGAATCTAAGAAAACACAAAAAGGAGGTAAAAAGCTATAAAATGTCAAGAACTAACTCAAAATAGTGGGTGAATAACATGGAAAATCATGTGTAAAAATGAACCGAACAACATTGAGAAGAATGTTTGTGATAGTATCATTGGTACATTGCTGGAGATCCCTGGAAAAAATAAAGATGATATTGCTACTCGGTTAGATTTATTGAACATGGGGGTAAAAACTGATTTGCAACCCGAGTATGGAGAAAGACGTACTCCTTTGCCTCCAGAGCCTTGGAATTTGTCAAGAGCAGAGAAGAGAGCAGTTTGCAATTCTTTCTATGGTAAAAAGGTCCCTGAAGGTTATTCTTCAAATATAAAAAATCTTATATCTTTACAAAATTCAAGACTTCTTGGCCTTAAATCACATGATTGTCATACCTTAATGCAACAATTGCTCCCTGTGGCAATTCGTTCTGTTTTGGAGAAGCCTGCAAGGTATGCAATAACTCGTTTGTGCTTCTTCTTCAATGCTATATGTGCAAAGACGGTTTATGTTTCCAAGCTAGATAAGTTGGAAGAAGATGTAGTAGTTACTTTGTGTTTGCTTGAAAAATACTCTCCACCTTCATTCTTCGATATCATGGTTCATCTAGTAGTACATCTTGTCAGAGAAGTTCGCCTATGTGGGCCAGTATATTTTAGATGGATGTATCCGTTCGAAAGATATATGAAAGTTCTAAAGGGGTATGTTCAGAACCACACTCATCCCGAAGGTTGCATTGCTGAGCGTTATATAGCTGAAGAAGCTGTAGAATTTTGCACCGAACATTTATCTGATATTAGTACAATTGGAGTGCCATCAAGTCAGAAGATAGGAGTTTCAAAGCCATTATCAGGTTGCACAATGAGCTTAGTTGATCAGGACCTGTTGAACCAATCACATCTATATGTCTTGGAGAATACGAAGGAAGTCCTACCTTATATCGAGTATGAGTTTTATTCTTTAAGTTTCCATTTTAAATTATTCCTTATGTTTATCTTATATGTTTGGGACCGTAATGCTTGAATTTTTCGTGTCATGTAGGGAACATATGATCCACATCAAGGCCGCTTATCCAAAATTTAGAAAGAGAACAAAGTGGCTGCAAGATAAGCAAAATAGCACTTTCATTCACTGGCTACACTTCAAGGTATATGTTATTCAATAACATATTTGACTTTTAATTTTCTTCTTTCTATGTTAGATTGAATTAAGATATGATTAATTTGCAGGTTCAAAGTGAACTCAATGAGGGAGACAATCATGGCGTATCAGAAAATTTGAGGTGGCTAGCAGCTGGTCCAAACATGGCAGTGCCATCACATAGGAGCTATCTTATTAAAGGTGTTAAATTTAACATCAAGGCACAAGATGATGTGCGGACAGTTCAAAATAGTGGAGTTTATTTACTTGCACATACCATGCAAGTTGCTAGTGCCAAGGATAAAAACCAAATTCTCTCAAATATGGGTTTTTATGGTGTCATTCAAGAAATTTGGGACCTTGACTACCAAAAGTTTACA